GGAGAAAGAGAGAGAGAGAGAGAGAGAGAAACATCAATGTGTGGTTGCCGGGGGCCATGGCCTGCAGCCCAGGCATGTGCCCTGACTGGGAATCAAACCTACAATGCTTTGGTTCACAGCCCGCACTCAATCCACTGAGCTACGCCAGCCAGGGCTACCCCAATACATTCAATAAATTTTTAAAAAACCCATTTGGAAAAAAGAAAAAGCGTTAGTCCCTCAGTGCTTCGCACGTACAAAAGGCTCAATATTTGTGGAGTGGAAAAATGCGTGACTTCATGAATCAAGGGCTGTGCTGATGTGTGTTCAGGGCCCTTTGTGGCTCGGACCAGGTGACGCCGATACACCAGCTGAAAATAAAAATTCTCCCAAACAGCCATGTTTTAAAATGAATTTTATATTTCAATCTACAAGAAACTGGGTTGAGGTTTAGCTGGCCGCCGGGACCCCGTGCCTAGGACGGTGGGCAGCAGAGAACCCCGGCGAAGTCAGCCCTGGTGGCGGCGAGCCGCCTGGACGGATCAGCAGCCGGCAGCACGAGTCACTGGGACCAAGTGCAGGGTCCCGTCCCCCGGGATCACACCGCCATTAATATTGGGACAGTCAACAGTTTGTCTAGCGCTTAATCTCCTCCAAGAGCGTTACTGAGGCAGACTCACCCCGGCCACGTGACTCCCACTTGAGAGGTGACAAAACCGAGCACAGAGAAGTTAAATAACCGACCCGTTTATACATCGGGCGAGTGGTGCAGCCGGTGTCCAGCCTGCGGCCCTTTGGCCCTGGGGCCTGGGGCCCAATCACAACCCTTCATGTGCGGTCTCCACAGGGTTAGATGAGTGAGCCCACATAGGGGCATGTTGGCCCATCTGTGGGGGGCAGTGGAAGCCTGGGCAGTTGCTTGATGCCCGGCTTGGAGGCAGACAGCACGGAGAGAGGGAAGCTGGCCGGCCATGGACACCTGTAGACAGCGGTCAGTCATGCAGGTTGACGTTGGGTTCTAGTTCAAGTGGCGCCTTGGAGAAAGGCAGGCGTGGTGGCTAAGAAGTGTGGGCCCTATAAGCTGTGTAGTGCCCAGCGTCTGGACCGCGCCAGGGCCATCCATGATTGTAAGACACAGACCCCCCAGCTCCTGCCATGGGAGCCGAAAAGTCTGAACATTCCTTTGCTCTTTCCTTCAGTGGAAATGACAGCTTCTCTGGTGGCCAGGGGTGGCCAGGACAGCAGCGATGGGACGGGTGTTGGCAATGATGCCCAGCATCCTGCAGCCATGGTCTTGGTGGTCCAGGGGCCAGCGGTGGCAATGACAGGGGTGCTGTGAGGCTCCGGAGTTGACGGAGAGGGTGGTTCGTGGAGGAAGTTCATGCTGCCGGAGGTCCACACCTGAACGCTGGGCATTGAACCCCACCTGCCTTCCAAGTCCTGTGGGACTCTCCCCTCGCTCTCCCCGCCCCCCGCTTCCCCCTCCCCATTCCCCCCTTCTTTTCGTCAGGGCTTTTGCAACATTTGCCCATCTATTGCAGACTTACCTGGAACCTCTTTTCATTCCCAGTTGGCTCATCCAAGATACTTGGCTGAAAAAGATTCTCCTCTTTAGAAAAATTCTCCTGTGATTTGAGGGGGTGGGGGTGGGGGGCAAGCAAACGTTCCTGTTTGCCACCCTCCAATCCTCAATTGTCCAGAAACCTAGTGGTAACAAATGCAAAGCAACAGTTTTCCAACTTTTCTTTTTACCCAGTAGCGGAATTCCATTTTTTCCCAAATATCTTAGGCAGAACCCCAAGGTGTGAAAATTATATACTTAAGAAAATTGAGATGAAATTCACATAATACAAAATTAACTATTTTAAAGTGAGCAAATCAGGGGCATTTAAAAAATTCACAGTGTTGTGCAGCCACCACCTCTGTCTAGTTCCAGAACATTCCGTCACGCCAAAGCCAACGGCCGAGCCCGTCAGGAAGGTACTCCCCACTGCCCAGTCTGTGGGAACCACCGACCTGGATTCCGTCTTCCCAGACCTGCCTGTTCTGCACACTTCCTATCAATGACCTCACACAATACAGGACCCATGGTTCCCCTCACTTAGCATAATATTCTTGGGATTCTTTGCAGTTGTAACAGGTGTCAGAGCTTCACTCCTTTTTAGGGCTGAGTAATATTCCATTGTGCGCTTAGACCACAATTTGCTCTCCGTTCACCTGTTGAAACATACACCTTTCTGCTCTGTTGGACCCAGAAGTGGGGCACTGGGCACCCCCCACCCACACTCCACATCCAGCTTTCCCCCTCAGGGAGCTCCTGACACTGCTCTGAACTCCTGATGAAATGCTGATTTATTGCCCCAGAAGGGTTGGGCCTCGTGGGAGGGGTAAGGGGCTCCTGCAGAAGCTTTCACTTGAATGAAAGTCTCTGCCGCTACGGAAACCGAACTGAACTGGCTGCACTCATGCCCAAGTGTGGCTGACTGGTAATAACTGCAGGCATCCTGCGAGGTGGGAGCCTGCTGGGCAACAGGGTCTCTGGATGGCTGCCCTTGGCTCCCGCCCACGGGGCCCAGGGGCTCCTCCAGCCTGTGTGGGCAGGTCTGACTAGCAGCAAGCCTGCCAGCCTGCCGCTTTTATGACTTCACGAGTTGAAACTCAAGCCACGCCCCGGTAAGTACATTCTGCCCACCCCACGCCATAAACAGGTGCCAGACTGCTGCCGTCATCCCACTTCCACAGGTTCTCTTTGTCTCCCCACACCCTTCATGGCCAAGTCTCCCAGGTGCCAACAGAAGCCCTTTGAGCATTTCACGCCCTTCTAGAAAGCAAGGTTTGTCCCCCGCTCTATTGCGCCCCACTCCCGGTGCAGGACAGTCCCACCCCCCTGGGTGTGGCCAGGTTTAGCCTGGGTCAGCGCTCTCTGAAAGGAGCCCCCACTCATGCAACAAGGGGGAAGAGCCCCCGTGTGGAGGGGCCCGGGCAATGCTGACGGCACATTTGTGCAATCACGTGGCTTGGCACGGCCACCACTGCCCAGGTAAGAAGCGCAGCTGGTTGGTGTACCTGACGAGGGTGGAGACCAGCTGGTTTGCCCAGCTGGCTGAGGTGGGTCAGCGCCTCCGCGTACACCTCCCTCGCTTCTGAATGGAGGAAGACAAAGTCCCACTGCTGGGAAAGCGACTTTGCGAAGTCTCAGGCCGTCCCCAAACGTAAGTAGCTGGCAGAGCCGTCCCTCCTCTGCTCTCTGACAGCCTGAGGGGGTGGCGGCTCTGGAGGCCACGGGAGAGAGTTCCAGACGCAGCCGGGCCTCCCCTTTGCAGCTCTGAACTGTGCATGACGTAGGAGTAGTTTTGCTGTTTTCTTGAACCTCTTGACCCGTTTTAAAAAGCTGGTTTGGGTGTTCTAATTTTGAATACGATTCTTGAGTTTAGTTTGGTGAAGGAGTTTCAAAATCAGTATGACATTGACCCATGTGGAATTCCAGCTGCATGGGGTTTAAGCGGGCTGGGACAAGGAAGTCACAATCATTGAGAAGGACGTAAAGATGGTAACACAACATTGTTTGCTAAGGAGGCATCATTTTCCAAATGAACTTAAAAAAATTACCTGAAGTGAGCAGTTGTAAATAAACGAATATTTTTGCATTCTGTAGGTGAGCCTATAATTTTGGAGGGTCCACCTGGTAAACAGAAAATGGCAAGAAAGGATTAAGGAAATTGTACCCATTTGGTGAAAAGTTTAAGAGTGAGAGAATTGATCACTGTGGGGACCTCATTCCCAGTTTTCTCAGCGTGGGAGCCTTTTAACTGAGCCCGCTCAAAGGACTTAAATTTTATTTTCCGGTGCCTGTTCCGTAGACAGAGCACACGGTGACCACTCCACCGTGCTGGTCAGGTGACGAGCACATCACCAGGCAGGTTTTGTTGCCAGTCAGTCTTCGAGGTTTTCGGGGGAGACACTGGGACGTCAGCCCTGGTGCCGAGGAAGAGCCTTGAACTAGAGGAAAGGAGACTGTTCTATTTCAGCTTTGCTTGCTCAGAACCGGGTCTGGGGCCGGCCCCTTGCCTTCTCCAGCCTGCTTCCTTACTGGATCAGGCTGCTGGTCTCTAAGGTCTAAACGTCTATGATTTTTTTTTAAGCTTTCTGCAACTCCGTTTCCCCACCCAGAACAAGGGACGGCCTGCTTGTGTTCTGGGGTCACACAGAAGTCAGCTGGGTCCCGTCAGGGGGCGTCCTGCCTTCCTCTGTGAGCCGTGGCAAGCACCCTCCCTAGGAGTATGCTTCATGAACGCCGTCACCACGTGCGCCTGCCCGAGGGCAGGCCCCCAGCCGCGCGGCGGCTCGCCCTGCTACACCGCCACTTCTCCCTCGTCTCGCCCCCGAGACCCGTTTTCCTCGCCGAGAAAGCCCCTCCTGCCTGCCTAGAAACGCGCGCAGAAGTGAAACTGCTTTGATGGAACAAGTGTTTAGAGTGGGAAATATAAAAACCATATGTTGTTGAAGACGAGCGGGTTTCACGCCTCCCCATGCTCGACACCGAGCTGTGCTGTCGCCGCCGGTGGGAACCCAGCCACACTCGGCGTTTGCAAACCGCGCGCAATTGGAAACAGAACGCGTGTTCCGCCGGCGGCGGCGGCGGCGGCGGCGGCGGTGGCAGCGGCACTCCCCGCGCTGCCCCTGGCAAAGCGGCCGCTCCGTCGCTCTGTTTGTGTATGTTCGTGTATGTGTGCACTGGCATCGGCTCAGAGACGCGGCCGCAAACTCGTTTTTCAGAAGTGCCTGCCAACGGCGGGGCGGGGATTCCAAACACCAGCCGGCGCTGGGAGAGGAGTCTTGGGTGGCACAGCACAAAAGAAAACCCTTCCAGAGCAATTGTCCCTGATGTGACTGCAGAGACCAACGCTTCCCATCATCTGGCTTTTGAGTTTGGGGAGACGAGCAAGCAGACAGCAAAAGCCTCAGACCTTCTTCCGGTTTGCAGACGTGAATATCCTTCTTTTTTTGTTTTTTTTTCCCAGTCTCCTCTGATAAGATCCCGAGGGTCGCTGCGCACCGTGACTCGCCATGGGCAACGAGAACAGCGCCCCGGATAACCAGGTGGGTGTCGGGGAGCGCCCCCGTAATCTCCGGAGCCCTCTGCGCTGACCTCCGCTAGGCTTTTCTTTCCAGCATCTTCTCTCTGCCCAGGAAGGAACAAGCTAAAACACAGTCTCTCCAGACACTTGTGGCATAGTACACAGATCCGCGTGGGCATTTTTCACTTCGTCCTCAGAACTCCCGTGAGCCCTAATTTCATAAGCCATGAAAACTAGTTTTTCTTTTTATTCTGTGCTTTTAAAATTGATATAATGAGAGTTTGGCACGTTTTTCCTGGATTGTGTCCCAGTCCCCGCCCCATCTCCCCATCAGCACACAGGGGTGCGGCAGAGAAGGCTAAAAATAGAAGCTTTTGCACACTCCTCCCCAAAATTAAGTTATGGACCTTAAAAAGTGATTTTTTAATCTATCAGTGTTGAGCAGATTACATGTGAAATATTGTTTCCAGGTTAGTTAAGGTTTTCACAATTGAGGAATGGACTCTGACTGCTTAACTGTGCAGACAGCTGGGATATTATAGTCAGATTTTAGTTATCCGTTTTAAGTTTGAATCTTTAAAAAAGATATTATTTATTTATTTTTAGAGAGAGGGGAAGTGGGGAAGGAAAGGGAGAGAAACATCAATGTAAAATTGATTGGTTGTCTTTCACACGTGCCCCTACTGGCCTCTGACTGGGGACCAAACCCTCAACCCAGGCCTGTGCCCTGACCAGGAATTGAACCTGCAACCTTTTGCTTTGCAGAACAATGCCCAACCAACTGAGCCACACTGGTCAGGGCTTAAGTTCAAAATTTTAAAATCAATGCCCTGGTGAACAAAATCAAGGAGACACTTTCCCATTTATCTCGCACACAGTGAAAATTTTCGCTCAATGGTATTCAGTTCTTTGAAGAAGAAAACTGGATGTAAGGGCCAGCATCATTCACTTAGGTTCCCCTCTTCTTTTCTTAAGCAGGAAAACAAAGAATCACTAACAGAACAGGAGGAAACTCCAGGCTTGAGGGGCAGGCAAGAAACAGTAACTGTGCTAAATGACTGGGTGCAAGACAATGGGGAGAGGTAGGGACTGTGGCAAACTGGAGGGTCCCTGTCCTGCTGTCTAAAGGAGACAGCCACCACCCACTCCCACCGATGGGTGTCACATGGGGAGGGGAGCCCCTGGTACAAGATCTTCCCAGTTCCTCAAGGGGAGTCAGAACCCACATTTTTTCCTGTGAACTCTTTAAAATTTTATAATTAAACGCTTAAGTGTGAGATAATAGGTGTGCATGCTGTTACCAGAAATAATACAGAGAAGTCTCATGTACCCTTTACCTACTTTTGTTTTGCCCTTTACCTGGTAACATCAAAGCGTCATCTCTTGTGAAACTATAGTATCGCAGCCCAGATACTGACATCGCTAAAGTCAACACGTAGAACATTTGCATCCCCAGAGGGGTCCCCCTGTTATGCCTGCAGCCACACCCACCTCCCTCTTACCCCCCATTTCTAACCCCCCACAACTTCTAATTTGTTCTCTATCTGTTGTATGATTGTAACACTCTGAGAATGTTATATAGATGGACGGGATCACATGGCACAGGACCTTTGGGAATCGGCTGGTTTCACTCGGCACAGTTTCCTCGAATCCATCCCAGTTCTTGCGTGCGTCCGTAGTCCACTCCTTTTCACTGCTGAGTAGTGTTCATGGTGCAGAGTGCGGCAGCTGGGTGGAGCTTCCACTCAGCGAAGGACATCTGGGTTGTTTCCAGTTTGGGGCTGTGACAAATGAAGCTGCAATAAAATTTGTATACACAGTTTGTGTGTGTGTGTGGGGGGGGGAGAGAAACATATGTTTGCATTTCTCCAAGTTAAATGCCCAAGAGCGCAGTCGCTGGGTCATATGGTAGTTGCATGTGTTGTTTTGTACGGAACTGCCACACTGTTTTTCTAGCGTCACTGTGCCCTTTTACATCCCCGCCAGCGGTGCAGGAGTGACCCAGACCCTCTGCCACCGTTTGGCGCTGTCAGGATTTGGCGCTGCCACTCTGATGTGTGCGCTGCGATCGCTCATCACGTGTGGTTTTCATCTGCATTTCCCCGCTGAGCGATGATGTTGAGCATCTTTAGTGTGCATACTGCCATCTGTACATCCTCTTCGGCGAAATATCTATTCACGTTTTTGCCCTGACTGCATTTTCTAACTGTATTTTTTTTTTTTACTGCTGAGTTTTGAGAGTTCTTTATATAGTCTAGATACTAGTCCTGAGTCAGATTGTGGTTTGCAAGCGTTTTCTCCCAGTCTTGTTTGTCTTTTGCTTTTACAGGACAAAAGTCTTCATGAGGTACAGCTTTTCAGTGTTTCCTTTTATGGATGGTGCTTTCCGTTTCAAACCTAAGAATTCTTTGTCTAGCCTTACATCCTGAAATTTTTTCTTTTTTTCCTAAAAATTTTATACGTTTACATTTTATATTTCAATCCATAATCCATTTTGAGTTACTTTTAGGGTAAGGTGTAAGATCTAGGTTGAGGTTCATTTTTTGGTGTGTTTTTGTTTCATTTTGCCCGTGGATGTCCGTTCTCTCAAGGACCATGTGGTGAAAATACTCTCCTTTTCTCATGGAACTCCTTTTGTACCTTCATCAGAAAATTAGTTGGTTATATTTGTGTGGGTCTACTTCTGGGTTCTGCTTTATGTCGTTGATCTGTGTGTGCATCCTTCTGCCGACCCCACGCAGTCTGGATTTACTGCTGCTGTACGGTAAGTCTTGACATCGGGTAGAGTGATTCCTTCCACCTTACTATTTTTCAAAATCGCTTTCGCTCTCCTAGGACCCACGGCTGCCCGTGTAAATTTCAGGATAAGCTCGTCTATGTCTACACACATCTTTGCTGGGGCCTTGATAAGAATTATATTAGAACTACACATCCGTTTGGGGAGAATTGGCATCTTTACTACGTTCAGCCTTCCAGTCCATTTATTCGGGTCTTCTTTGACTTATTTCATCATCATTTCATCATTTTCGGCATGCCAATTCTGCTTATGTTTTAAGTTGATGCTGAACCATTTTCTTTCCTCTGCAGTGATTGTCAACGGCAATGTGATTTCAGTGTTGGCTTCCATATGTCCCTTGTCCGTGTGCTGGTTTTTTTATGTTGAGCTCGTCTCCTGTGACTTTGCTGAACTCTCTTATCAGGACTGGGAGGTTGTTTATAGATTGCTCGGGATTTCCTATGTAGACGATTCTGGTATTTGCAAATAGGAAGAGTTGTATTTCTTCTTTTTAATTCTATATGCCAGTATAGTTCTTCTCCTCCTCCTCCTCCTTCTTCCTCTTCTTCTTCATTTCTTTTTGCCTAATTACAGTGGCTGGGAATTCCAAAACCGTGTTAACTGAGAACAGTCAGAGTGGCTCTCCTTTCCTTATTCCCTGTCTTCGGGGGGAAAGCTTTCAGTTTCTCCCTGTTAAGGAAGATACTGGCTGTAGGTTTCTTGTAGGCTCTCTCTACCGAGTTCAGGGAATTCCCCTGCAGCCCTAGTTCGCTGAGGATGTTTATTGTGACTGGGTATTGGATATTGTAGAACGCTTTTTCTGTATCAGTTGATGTCATGATACGATCTTTCTTCTGGCCTGTGGATACGTTGGGTTGCACTGATTGAATTCTGAGTGTTGGATCGGCCTTGCATGCCCGGAGTAAATCCCACTTGGTCATGGTGTATGATTAGTTTTAAACATGGTTAGATTTGATTTGGTCACAGCTTATGGAGAATGTTTACATTTAACTTCATGAGAAATATTGCTCTGTGGTTTTCTTGTTGGCGGGGGGGGGGGGTCTGGTGCTAGTATCAGGGTGATATACTAGTCTCACAAAATGGGAAATTCTCTTCTGTCTTCTAGAAGAGATTGGGTCAAGAAATCTTACAACTTGTAAAATGTTGGCAACCAATTTCAATTATTTTTCAATACTCTGTGGCAAAAAAAAAAAAAATTTCCTGCTGGCTGGGTTTGGTTCGTGCTGTAACTGTGTAATCTGGACTTAAAAGAATGTTCTGTCTCAGATCTGAGAGAGGAGAAGGGCGTGGCCACCGGCTGAGGGCCTGCAGGTGCCGACGCTGTAAAGGCCCCGGACTTGGATTCTGGCCTTTCGTCCGCTCACCAACGAACCAAGCAACTCACATCCCAGCCCTTCCCTAAGGTCCTCCGGGTCTATCTGGGCCCCAAGCCCTCCGCAGGTTCCACTCCTGGCTACAAACAGGACAATGCAGTGCTTCTCGCTGGGGGAGGAGGGGACGTTATTTCGTGATCCCCGGGGAACATTTGGCGATGTCCGAAGACATTTTTTGGGGTCACGGCTCCAGAGCGGAGATGCTACTGGCACCCAGTGGGCAGAGGTCAGGGATGCTGCTGAATGTTCGCACTGCACAGGGCAGCCCCACCACGAAGAACTGCCCGCCCCAAAGTGTCAAAGGTGCTGACGTGAAGACCCCCTAGCGTGGAGGAACGTTTGCCTTGCCTGCTTCAGGAGAGCTCGTGGGGGCAGGGGCTGGACTTCTCTAACCTAGGAGGAATTTCCTGCCTGAACGCTAAGTTCCAAGGAGCTTACATTTTTTCTCTCCGTTATCTTTACCAAAATCACACTGCCCAGAATGATTTAGGGTGGACGCACAGGAATGGAATTCTTGCGTCAAAGGAAACGTAAGTCTCTCTTGTTCCGTCTCTATCTCTGTCTGGATCTCTCCCTCTGTTTCTCCATCTCCATCTCTAGGTCTGCGGCCAAAATGCTTTTCTGGAAGGTGACTCTAACTTAGACTCCTCTCATCAGGGTATGAGAGCCCATCTCTCTCTGTCCTGGAAAAGCCGTGAATACTTTAGTCTCTGCTGATCGGGGCGGGGGGGGGGGGTGGGGGGGGATGCTGGGAAGTGTAAGGACCCTCGTGGCAGTCTACCTATCCCCCCCCCCCCCGCCCCCCACCCCCGGCTCCACCCCTCTCCTCCGTCCTGAGTCCCTGCCCCCCTG